GCACACACGGGGTAAGATTTCTTTGAATTTTTCCAAGTCCCACATTAAAAAATAGATTAATCTGTGATTATACCTAATAATTTTAACAGACATTTCCAGTATTTGACAGTTTTCCATAGAATACATAGATGCAGCTATTTATTTTCAGAAATTCTGGTATTTATGCAACAGCTTTTTGAGTTAATAATAAGAACAGTATAGTATTAGTACTTAAGTTCTCATCCCACTCCAAAAAGAATGAGTGCTCTGGGTGTGATTCCAAATATACCTGTCTCTTGGGTTTTTCTTGTATTAACTTAAATTACAATGAGCCATAATAGTGCATATTTTCCCTAGAACTTGGCTGTGTCTCAGGTCTCTCTGATGGCTCCTTCTCTATCCTGCTTCTCTGACCACTGGTGCTACTGAAGTCCCTTTACTCAGATATTGAAATCAAGTGTCAGTGAAAAGTTAATTTTGTAAATGTTGAGATATGGTATTTCTGTATCAAGAAAGATCCTCTCAGCAAATACTCCATAAATGAAGATATTGTTGAAGTTCTGGCTTCTTCTACAATACATTAAAGCAAGTCACAAAAAAAGACTATTGCCTTTTAGGCAAAGGGTATTACACCTGGTCATAGAGAAAGTTTTCTGCCAGTTGGCTTTTCAAATTCTGGAATTATAATATTATGCTAGATTTTGTAATTCTGAATTCAAATTCAGATTCTAGTCCTGATTTGGTTTTATATAAGTCTAAATGCATTCAGAAATAAAGTTTCCACACCCATATTCTATGGCTATAAGGGCAAATATTCATATCAAAAGAAGGAGAAATGATACTTCCAGGAAGCAACAATGGCATGGAAAGGAGTAATTTGTTGTGTTCTAGCATCTTCTGTTGTTGTCAGGAGCAAGGCTCCAGATCTGTGTTTACCACCAACTATTACAGTGTATGTCATAGTATTTCCAAGAACCTCATCCACTCAGAGATTGTTTTGAAGGAGATATTATTTGGTGTCTTTTGGAGCCAAACGAATTAACTGCCTTAGTGTTCAAACTTTGTTTTCAACCATCTGAGCTCATATTTATAAGAGAGAGACATGTTAACTATTATTGAGATGCCACTCCCTGGAAACATTAACTCATCTCTGCAGATTAAATCTTCTAAAATATAAAATCTATTGTAGCCGATCCTGACCTGCAATATTATTCTTTCTTGGGGTGGCAAAAGGTAATATTATTATTAGTTTATCTACTTTAATAAGTGAACTAGGAATGTGTTTTAGAAATTGCTTTCTTTTTGTTCAGAAAACAATACTTCCTTAAAAAAAGAAAAAGAAAATGGAAAAGAGAGTAAAATAATAAAAGAGAAATGAACAAGCAAAAGAGGAAAAAGGAAAAGTAGAGAGAGAAACAGACTTTCTTACATTAGCGATTAATAAACTTTCCTGCATTAAATAGATAATGCTTAAATATATGGACAAAATTTAGGTTATCTCCAAAAAATTGAAAATCCAGGCAGAAATTCGCTTTTGGTTTGTAACACTTTTCAAAAATATGATTCTTGCTGAAATTTACTGTGCAGATCCAAGTCATCTACAACATGGGGCAAATGCAAGTTTGCATTTTGCAAAAGTAATAAAGGAGTTTAATTAAGTTTTGAATCCTAATATTGTTAATATTGTAACACAGATACAATCTGTTTGGATATTCTATTTAACTATTTGAAAGTAGTGCTAAATACTATAATTGGTGGAAACTCTTGACGATAGTTAAATTATAAACAATACTCACAAAGTGAGCGTAAAGCTATTAGGTTTAGATATTATTATATGATCATGGTATTATAAAATTGCTTTACTGGAGTTCATTTAACTAATTAAACACTCAGGAAGAGCTCGATGGAGTCAGGGAACCCAGTCATGGCTTCAGCAGGAAGGTTCCTGCCTTGGACCCAGCTGGGCTGCCAGCCCTCTGCCCTGTACCCAGCTGCAGGATCAAAGCGCGCTGCTCCTGGATCCCATCACCGCCAGCCTCGCTCTTCCAGGGCTGGACATGAGCTCTGCCATCCTCAGGAGCAAGGGAAAGCCAGGCTGGTTTGTTTGCCCAGGGCCACACAGCGAGCCGGCGATGGAGCAGGCGCTGGCCGGAGCGCGGCCGCGAGCACGCCCCGCTCCTGCAGTGGTCAGGCCACGCGCCAGTACAAGCCGAGACATTCTAGGATAAATTGGCAGTGCGCGCTATGAGAAGTTTTCCTCCATTTATTTTATTATGTAGTGAGTGATACAGCAAAATCCCCTGTCCTAAAAGGATATAAAATAACCATACGCGTTCACTGAAAATTTATATCGTTGAATGCCAGCCTGAAGAAATGGAAGCTGGAACAAAACGTCAATGAAGTAACAAGATAAATCAACATTCTGACACGTTTTTAAGCATATCAAATGTGTACAAAAACTTTATTAAGATGGTCAACAAACCATTTAGCTGATAGGTGGCATAGCAAAGAAGATTATATTTTTGAAAATCCCCAAAAGAGAAGGAAGAGACTGAAGGAATTTTGACATGGTCATTAGCTTCTAGGATGAAAACAATTCATTGATATCTATTCCACGTGTTAGCCTCTGGCCCTTAGGGAGGCAATATGACTTTTCAACTTGAAGAAAACATGATTAAAAAAAAAAAAGCTTGAAAAATTTCCCCAGAAAATCTGCTTAATGCTGGCAGTATTAAGTCATGGGCATAGCTCTGTGACTTGGGACTCTTGGAGCACTGAGCAAAAACTTGAAACTGGGCCGCTGGGTCCCTGGTGACAAAGTCAGTGTAATGTTACAGGAATGCTCATGTTTTTTAACACAGGGAACACTTCAGCAGCTGATCTCTGCTCATTTTCTCTCCCCATTCTTCTTTCCTTTGGAGAAATATCATTTATTTAATTCGAATAAATGGGCTATGCTAAGTATTTGAACTAAATCTGGGATGTAGCAATATTTGGATGTGCCCTCAACCACAAACTCAGCATGCCCATGCCTCTACAATGTTGTCTTTGGACTCTTGAGAACCCAAGCACAACTGGGGCACTTGGGGCAGAACAACTGGATAAGAAGAAGAAATCTGTGGGCCAAGGAACTTGACTAAATATTGTGTTCCAAAAGGCAGCTCTGTACACAAAGAATAGGGGGAGCAATAGTTTATGCAAGTGGCTCAACACAAAACAGATGGTTAGATTTCAACAGAGAAAAGGACTGATGGGTAGTTTACAGCAGACAGACATCTTCCAAAGAATGAGACCTCAAAACTGATATATTTAATACCATTATATCCTACAAGACTTAAACTTCTGAAGCCAATTTGAGTGTTTCACTGTTAATTGACAAGCAATGTTTCCTCACGGAAATAAGACCTGTTTCTAAAAATAGTTTCTAGGGTTTTTAACACAGTATCCCAGGTCAGATGTTGCTTCTTGTGGCTCTGTCTGTGGGTTTTTTGTTTTTCTTTTAATTTGTACATAAATATAAAAGAAGAATACGATCAAGCTAAAAGTTTTCAGATTTTTCTATGAGACCTTTCCCACCTCCAGGCAAGCTTCCTGCCCTAGGAGGAATCTTTTCCTCTAAAATTTAGACAATTACTATCTCTTGACTTGATGCACTGTTCTTGTTTTCACATTCCTGAGAATCACTTCAAAATGTCCCTTAGCTACAGAGGAGGAAAAGTAAACCAGTGAGCTATAAAGAATAAAAATTAGAGGTACAACTTTGGCTTCTGGTGACAGGAGCGATGAGATTTTTCATTTTGTCAAATTTATAACAAACTCTAGAATCATGATTTTTGGAGACAGAATAAATCTCTAAACTATTGAGTCTAAATTTCCTTTTGCTTCTGGTAAAGTGCAAGTCCTAGGCTGTAGCAGGTTTTTCTGTTTTGTTTTGCTATAATTTTATTCCCCTGGTAATCCCAGAAGCAGGACAAGAATTAATTTCAAACAAGGGTCTTTATTGTTTGCATAGCTCAATACTCTGTTTAATTACAAAAACATGTTAGTTGTTTTTTTAATTTAATTTTCTTTGAGAAAATGATGGTTCAAATTAAGGGGAAAAATGTTTTTTCAAAACTCAACAGTTTGGTGAAACCTTAAACTGCTATTCTTTATGTTGTTTAAAGTTTTGAAGAAAATGTAAAGGCCACCAGTTGGGAGGTTTTGGGGCTTTTTTACAGAATCAGCCAATGATTATGGTCAACTAAACCTAGACAAGCAACAGAGGATGAATTTTCTAGTCACACTATTGTGTTAATATATGTGTTTATTTAGTCCACTGTATATGAAATTTTTCTGAACATGGAGGTCAACAGTTATTAGTCACCAAAATTTCACTTACAGCTCAGGCTTCCATATTGCAATGAGCAGTGTGTAGATTTTCACTAAAGAAGACAAACAGATGTTGAGCAGAGAAGAAAGGGTTATTCAGTTTTCTTTGAGAAATGAGAATGCAAATTGAAGTGGAAATAATCTGAAAATTTGGTTCACAGACCTAGAAGGGAGGATGTGTTCAAAAACACCAAAGATTCAGCCAAAGCTTTGGTCTCATAAGAACCTTATTCACTGGAAGAAGGATATTGCAGGATGCATTTCCACGTGATCTATGCTGCCACTTGTTGCACATCACTGGAAAGTCTCCTACTGGGAGGAAAAAAAGCTCTGAAGCCTCAGAATGACCTTGAACTTTAACAGAAATTATCTTATTTGAAAATTCAGCCTAGAATACTTTATTTCCTAGTAGTCTTTTAAAACATTGTGTTTTCCAATCATAAAGAAATAACTGCAATTTCTTACCAACATTTTAACAGAAGAACCAATGAGATTTTTCACCAGTGCCTCTGCTAATTGCACCTTTTCCGACTGTGATGCATTGAAAACAAAGGGAGAGATATCCATAGGTTTAAACTGTATTTTGCTTTTTGATGATCATAGAAAATATTCTCTTAGGATTCAGGAAGAAAAAAAACATATGAAAAAAAACTGTTATATGGGCACACAAAATCTCTGTATTTTTACCAGGATATAAATGTCCACTAAAACTCAGCTACATAAAGAACTCAGTCAAAGCCAAAAGTTATCAAATAGGGCAGAAAATTATGCAGCTCTGAGTGCTGCCCTTAGAAAACATCTCCCATTTCATTGCAACACCTCATTCTAGAATTTGATTTTCATATTGTCCAACATGTTTTATATCCCAGAAATAAATTGTCTGCAGTGGGTATAATCTACTTCAATACAAAGCCTAAATTGTCCCATTTGCCATATTAGAAGGACAAAAAGTTCTGTAAGCCATGGTGTGCATAATCCGTTAATCTATTCATTTCTATGGTGTTTTTAAAAAATAAAACATTTAATAGAGGGAACATAAATAAAATAAAGCATATCTTGAAAGATATGCAGCACAATTAATTTGACGCAGATTTTGAAAACATGCAATTTACCATATCCAGTGATTCATTAAGCATAAATCTTTTGTACATGAAAGTCAAGAGTTCTAGAGATGAAATCTCAAATCTGTTGAAGAAAGTGGGAGTTTCCTCTTTGATTTCTAGGGGCCTGCATTTTACTCTAGGCACATTTTCTCTTCTAAAAGCACAATTCACATGGAATTATTAGAGTGGACAAATTGTATTAAAGCAGGTTCATTATCTGTTTCTGTCTTTAGACATGTACCACATACTGTAAACCCGAGATGGTACCAAAGAGACACTCATTTGAATGAAATTGAATGAAAGTCAAAGGGTCAGTGACACAAAATCAAATCTTCTATTCATACATGCTTATGGTAGTCAGGAAATAGATCATTTAGATAACTTTACCAAATAATGTACTTGAAAATATGTAGTTAATTTCAGAAATGAAAATAAGCTGCCTTCTATGAGAGTATTTTATCATAAGGAATATTTAGGGACTTTATTTGAAAAATATCCTAGAAATAGTTGAATAACTTCTTTGGTCATATCTGAAAATTATTCTCACTGAAATATTTCTGAATTCTGTACTCTAGCTTCTTCAACTAGAGAAATAAATGTGAAGGTGATAATCTTAAAATAATTTACTCATTGTATGTATCTAAAATTTGTTTGCATAAATGTTTAATCAAATAGGCTGGAGGCACAATTTCTGAAGAGCCAATATTAGGCCGTTGCTCGGCTGGGGGGTTTAAATACATGCTTTCTGCAAAAAATGTGAGATATGCATGCCTGAAAAATAAGAGTGTTGCTGTCAGCATCAGTTCTTGCATCTCAAATTCGATGCATTCCCAAACTTTTGTTAAAACCTGAGTTTTATGGTTAACTGTTCAAAACCCAATGTTTGAAAGATGAAGTCTGATGTGAAGAACACCATTTGTTTCTTTCAAGTTCTCTGAGCAATCTGTGAATTCCTTCATGAGCTTTCCTTTCCTGGGTGACCTGAAATGACTTGAATTAACTGTGATGCACTATGTGGAAAACATTGTCTCCAATCTGTCCTTCCCCACTTCTCACTTTTAATTTATTGGCCACCCACCCCTCTTTTTTCTTTTTGTTCTTGTCCAAATTTTCCTATTTCCAGCATATGTTTTAAGATTAAAAAACTCTTGTTTGGCAGACAGTATAAACGCTGTACCTCAACAGATGTTTTTAGTGTCAGTGCAAGAAGCGGCCACACGCTGATGCGGTTCTGCTTGGCACCATTTCTTGTCTGGAGAGACTGACACTGCATGAATATATTCATTTTACTGCTGAGTTCTTTTTTGTCATTTTTTTTCCTCCTTTCCACTCTCATGACACTGTGGTAAATTTGGTGTTTCTGTGACTTGCTCCCTCTTTGCATATGACTTTGTTTTATAAGTCATCCAAGTCTTGTTTTTGAAGATGCCAGTTGACCTGAGTTTACCTTTGAGTACCTCTCTCTTTCCTTTAACTGTGTTACCAGGAATATGTTTTCAGGTTAACTTGTAGCTTTTACCAACTGTTTTCATGTGTCTCAATATCACTATTTCTCTCCAAAACGTATTGCTATGCAGGCACATGTATCAAAATAGTTAGGGCCTCACTAAGTACAATCCACAAGTTCAACAGGTTTTTTTATTTACTCAGCTGGTCATGTACTTGTACTAAGGAGGTTTTTTTCAAGCTGTATTTGAAACAGGGGACAGGTTATGTAAGGGCATAATAAAAATATGGCTTTTGTGAAGGCACCAGCGTGATCCAAGAGAGACTCTCTAAATCTCCTTCCGTCTCCTAATCTGAATGGATTTTTCTGGCTTTCTGATGACAGGGGAGGTTCTTCTGTTCAAATTCATGCCAGGTAACAGCTGAAAATGAGAACTGGAAAAGTGGACAAGAAAAAAAAGAAGCTAAACATTATGAATTTAGAGTGCTTGCTGACCATAAAAATCTCTTCTGGCTAAGTGTTAGCAAATGGTGCCATATGAGACACCACAACATTTCCCTCAGCTTGCGAAAGGCCATAATTGTGGTGCTCCAGATAATCTCATGTGGTAACTGCTCATAAAAATTGACCCTTTAATGGCAAAGCTCTGTCCCATATGTTTTCGTTATTGTGCCTTTATACAAAAAGTGAAGCATAACGTACAAGGAAAACAAAGCAAAACCAAGTGATGGAGCAGTTGATTTTCAATGTACAAGAATATCTGTCACATCCAGAGCCTCCCTATGAGGATGCCTCATTAACAGCTCTCCAGAGCTCAAAAAAGGCTCATTCCAAAAGCCAGCACATGAGGCTGCTCCACAATGGCTTTGGAGGAATTGATGCTGCTGTTTGGAAGGAGCAGTGCAGGGAGACAGCCCCACTGCTCATTTTGCTCTTCACTTGCTAGAGATTTTTGCTGGACTCCCTGGGCCTTCTTCCTCTCTCTATTTTGTACAAGTAGCTGAAGACAGTAATTCACAAGCTGGGGGAGAGATGGAGCTGAGCCTGACCTTAGATAGCACTCAGTGGATGATGATACCTCTACTGCAGCTGGCACAAACAGACGACCCTGTAGTGTCAAAGGTACGTCTCATTCTTCCGGCTGCTTTTGTCGCAAACAAATATTTATTTTGGAGAAAGCAGGGGAAATCCAATTCTCTAGTTGTGGTTTCGATTCCTTTTGTCTGCAGCATGTTCTGCTAGGGAAGTGATGCACAGCGGTTTCTTTTTCAAATTTGCTTCTGGCTCAGCAAGAAGGTGGGTGGCAGGGCAGTTGGAAGTCATCAAGCACAAGCAATAATCTTTAGCAACCTTTTGTATAACTCTGCCCTCCAACCACTGCAATGGCTACCTTTCCCTGTTTAACTGGGGGACAGATCCTGGGAGGTCCTGAGTAGCTTTGAATTTGTCTGAGAAATTCCAAGTCTTGAATTTAAGATTCTAAACAGCACAGAAAAGCATCACAAAATCTTTCTTATCCATGATGCAAAAAGGGAGACAGCCATAAAACTGGGGTTAAAGTGAAGCAAGCTTCCTAAGGCAATGGAAGAAGGCAAGAAACAGGACAATTAACACAAGCAGGCCAAAATAGCTCCCTTACATTAAGATCCAAATCCTGAACTCCTGGGCATCACTTGAGTAGATAGGATCTTTATGAAATATTTATACCCAGGATGCAGCAGGAGTCAGATTTTTTTCACCCCAGTAGCAAGCATAGCTTCCTTATTGCCACCAATTAAGCAAATGTCAGCATGAAAAGCATGTTCAGAAAAAAAATTGCCTCTAGATCCCAGTAGTTGCAACTGGTTACTTGCTAATGACTAACAGTGATGATTAGTGATATTTATTCATGTGGTAGATTTTGAAAGCAAGAAGTGAAGTTCAGCATCCCTGGTTAATGCTTTCCCAAAAGCAGTATGATGGCCCATTCAATGTGCTAATAGTTCTGTTAGCATTTTTGACATGCAGATTTTGGAAGGGAAGAGAGTCAACTTACTAGCAAATGTATGTAGTGCACAAATACAGTCATGCCATGGAAGAAAGTAGGGAAAATATCTGCTTCTTGACCATGTAATTTTTCTTTCTGCATCATTTTCCCTTCCGCTCTTTTGTCGTGAAAAAAAAAAAGTTATTCTTTGTCATTCTTTATGTCCCCTGCAATCAGAAAATCTATATGCATACTTTGAAGAAAATGTCTTACTTTGAAATAAGCTGTTCTTGGATTTCATAGTGATTGCACACAAGTATATTGACACAATGTGAGCCCGTAAGAAGGCTTCATATTTACCCCAGAGAGGTAATGGAAGTTCTTCCTACCAATAAAAATCATAAGAACACTGCCAAGTGCAGCACCATTCCTGGATGCTCCTGGATGGCCAAGGATCTCATGAAATTGAAAAGAGCACCACATGAAGGCTCATCAGATGACAGGGAAGGTGAAATTTCTCAGCGTTACCACCCACTTAGCTGAAGCACTTGTGGCATTCACTCCAATCATGGGTGCAGTCCTGACTGCAGTCTCAAAACAGGCCATGACAGCCTCTCATCTATATGAATAATCTGCTCACAAAGGTGACAACATCCCAGATCATTAAGATGTTGACAGAAAGAGCCTCAGAAAACACCTGGAATTTCTTATCCTGTCAGAAGTCAGAAATAAGAAGAGAAACAACAAATAAGGCAGAGAGCTTTACTAGTATTCAAAGTGTGGAGGAAAGACATGAATAATTGACAAAATTTAAGCTTCTGACTGAGATGGAGTTCTGAGCCAGTAATAAGGATAGCTCTTGAAAGAAACTTCCCATGAAGAATGGAGATGATAGAAAAAGTGTGTCTTACCCTTCCAAAGGAAGCAATATTCAATAATAAACACATCTTGACAGAAACGTCAGTGAGCAAGTTGCTGCAGGTTCACAGAGAGGATGTAAGTGAGGGTCATTAGCACCAGTTTCAAGTCTCATAGAGGAGAAAAGTCCTTAAGAAATGGAATCAATTTCATCAACCATGTCAGAAATTTGAAGGCCAGGAGCCAAAAATCCACTGCTCATTTTGTAACCTCATTCCCCCTAGTGCCATGGTCATATTCCCCATGGCCCAGAAGATTTAAAAAAAAAAAAAAAAAAGAAGAAGAAGAAGAAGAAGTAGTAAAGTTACTCAATTAATCAGTTATGAAAAGGTACACTAGTCTTTTCAATAACATCCAGGGTTTGACTTGCTCCTGCAGAAAGACAAAAGATAACAAAACAGCCACAGAAGCAGAACATGTCAAGCTGGTGTCTAAAAGAAGTATAAGTATTCATCCTGACACACTCCACATATTTCTAGGAACCAAATTTAGGCAACCATCACTAAGGGCCAAGGAGTCCTTTTCCTGTGCTCTCTCTTAAGCCTATCAAAAGACCCAGCAGCAATGCAGAAAGGCATTGTCTCTGCTGAAGAATGAGCTCCAGCTTCCAACAGACATTCTGCCCACCCATGGTTGTTTGCATTCATTGCCTCTCATAAAATGCACTTTATATTCAAAGAGGAGAAACAAAGGAGCTTCTGCTGGTACTGAACTCTTGGTTTGGATCTCAGGGCTAATGAGGGAAATGTGCTCTTAACACCTCAAGCTCAGACAGTTGGTGTGTGAGATAGATGCCCGAAGGGTTGAGGACACTCACAGTGCCAGTGATGAAGGGCCTGGGCTTGTGTCATGTCCCAGCAACCGTGACAATGCAGACATTGCTTCCAACCACTTGGCACTATCCATAAACATTGTGTTACTCACAGTGGATGTGCTACTGTGACAACCTGTTAGGACCCAGAGATCTCCTGGGATAAAGGCACAGAGCATGGTAAGTACCTTTTACCTTGGAATTCTTTTCCTGTTAAATTTAACGGATGCCTTGATACTGGGGTAAACAGCCAAAAAAACAAGCAAGAGTGCAACAAAGCTTTTCAGGGTGTAGGAACATCTCAGGCCCTACCAAATTGTGCTGGATGAAATCTTCTCTTCAAGCAGGATGACACAATCTGAACGATTGTGTTCATATGTGGTTTTTGAGGGCCCAAACAAGGTCAAAGCAAGACCACTGGCAGAGATATTTCTGAAGATTAGGCTCTCCCATCCTGTAAGATTAAGGCTTAAAAGGTAGATACTTTAGAAAAGTCTGGAATATACCTTTCTCCTAAACAATAAAGGCATCTTGCACACCAGTTAAGTGGAAGCCAGAAGGAATTCTGTCACTTTCTTGAGAAGATCCAAATAAAAAATGGAGAACTGAGATAAACATGCAGAAGCTGTACCCAGCTCCCCAGGGAATATGAAGTAAAGAATAGTTCAGGGTTTACCAAAAGAAGTCTAACCCATAATCACACACTGATAGCTGTCAAAAAGCAAAGAACTCCAGCAAAATTGTGTCAGTGAGAAGGGAAACATTATGAGACTTTTCTCATTATACATATGTGCATAAATCACAAAGCTCACATGCCAAAGTGCTGAAGGAATAAAATATGTGTTCTCAAGTGACAGGGTTTGTTCATATGCTCTGTGTGAATGTATATGTTGATTAATACTTAAAGCCAGGAGATACTTATACATCTATTGTTATATAGACCATACTTTCTGAATATATAATTTTTTAAAATCTCTACTAGTGGACCTTGCAATCCTTCTTTACAAAGGTGTGACAAAAAAATCAGATTTGGCCTTAATCCTCTAACAGAATAGAGAAATTTTAATATTCATCCAATGAAAAGAGCAAACAATGGCTTTCTAAATTCTAAGAGTCTTAGTTTATATTACTGTGACTTGGAAACCTAATTTTTTTAAATTATGTGATGTTGGAGGTCATGATCCCCCAGCCATTGAAGCACTTGTTTATAGTTTGGTGTTTAATAATCAAGAGCACTGAACACTTTCTGCTCTAAATTAAGGAGTTCTTGGATCTTCACCAAATTGCAGAATGCTGCTCCAGACAAACTCTATCCCAGCTCTGATGATAGTTTAAATTGTTTTATATTTTTAAAATATTAATGATTTGACATATTAGAAATTAACTGAAAAAAGGTGATTAATTATTAACATGAAGAAAAGCCCCAGACAGATATTAATTTTTTTTTTGTCAAGCTAACCCCAGATTTTTGTTTCATATTTGCTTCTCCCCTTTGCTATCTGCTTTTGCTTTGGATTTATGGGATGTACACGACTAAAGTGTTTCTGAAGAGCTCTTTGTTAAGCCATTCCCAGTGTGGCTGATAAATGCCAACCCATACGGATGAAGTTATGGTACAGACTGTGGTTACCACGCTCAACTGTGGGTGTACTAAAATTAGGCACTTGTATTCTTCTATTCTCATTGAGCTACTGTGAATGAAAAAAAGGCCACTTGTTTAGGTGCTTTTATTTAAGTGACTAAATTGAGACCCCATGTGGAATACATATTAGCTTGTCCCTTATTAGGCTCCCATGAAAGCCAATGGGAATTTAGCCATGGAATTCAAAGGGGACAGACTGCACCCAACTATCGGATTGTGTAATAGCTTTTATTTTGATGTTAAGTTTTTGGTACTTTTTCTCAGTAAAAAGATTAAAAACACAAGTTAATAAATATTCTAATTAAACCACTTACCAATATTACAACATTAGTGTTGGGATAAGAACAAGCAAAAAGAAAGGCAATTATAAAAGAGGAAAAGAAACAAAGGAAGAAAATGTGACAAGTAGGTGGACTCTGGCTTTGTCTGTCACTTTGGCTCCTTTTCTCTCTCCAAGGCGTCTTTTGGGGGACTAGGCTAGGCAGCAGATTTCAAACGTGTTGACAAGCCTGGCAGAGCAGCCATTTCAATTTGTCCCTCAGCAGCAATGCCAGGCAGCTGTAAATGACTCTAACATTCTCTGCTTCATGATGATTCCAGGATTATGGTTAGGTTTTATGCTTTAAGTCCAGCATGGACTCCCTGCTAAGAGGCTCAAACTTCCTTAGACAGTGAGCACTTTCAGTCTACAAGCCACAAGCTTAGCCTCTTTTCCAAGGTTAAAAGGGGCAGAAATCAAAAGCTGGAAAAGCACTCCAGGAAGTCAACAAGAGAAATGTGAGAGAGATACTACTCAGCCACTTTTCTTTCAAGGGGATGTATGTTCAGAAATCCCTTCCATAGTTTGGAAGTCTTCCATCATTAATTTGAAGGCATGTTACAAGTTTTGTCCTAGTGCAGATGATAGACAGTTCCATACAATATTGCACAACAATAATAATAAATTACATTTTTAACAAAGGGTGGGAACATTTCCCAAAATGCCCCTTTGATGCTTGAACAGCTCTCTCCTCGTAAAATGAATGGTTTCTCCTTTTACTACCTGAGCTCAGGATCAGACTATGAAAGGAATTCACAATGGAATGGTGTGTTTGGCCACATCATGGCACCTGCCTCTCCAAGCCCCTGAGAGGCCATGAGGGCTCACACAGGCGAGCTGCTCTCTGTATCACTTGAGGTGTGACCAGAAACACTTGACACTTCCGTCTCCTTTTCCTTATAGCCTGACTGCCCTGAGTTACTAAACCTTGCTTTGCAGTGAAGAAACAGAAGGGACGAAAATGACTGAAAAACAGACTACATTTTTTAATATCTTCATACACTAAAAAAAGGGGGAGGGGGCTCGCCTACATTTTCAGCGTTACAAACTCGCAAAAGGAAAAATGAGGCTTTGGCTCGAAACCAAAATCTTTTAATTTGTAGTTGTGAATATTGCACAGTTCACTCTGAACCATCCCAATAAATGAAGTTTTGTCATTGGTTTTGCTGGAAACTGGCACCAAGCCTTCATTTGGTAATTTCAAGTCAGTTTTACAGCTGTGAGCCAATGCACAAAGCATATGGTTTTTGATGCATTACAAGTTAGAACTGCCTAATGTACATCGTCTTAGAAGACCACTTTCTTTTATGTATAATCTACTATGTCTTCATCAGTGAAACCAATTCAAAGCACAAATGCTAAGGAAATATATTGGGGTTGAAGTTAAATTACAACAGAATTTACAATAGTAAATGTGCAAAACATTTTGTCTTTCTACAGTAGTTCCAATGGAAACCTTTAAAAAATTGAAGAGTTTACCATAAACAAATACTGTCTCTATTCAGCAGGCTTTGAAAAGCTAAGAAACCTGGGAAAATAAGTGTTTCAAATAACTTTTAGTTAAAAAAGAAAAAAAATGTAAATCATCATCCCTTTCAGGACTGAATAAAATCAAAAGGGATGTTTAGGTCAATAACTCAGGGAAAAAAAATATTGCTTCTCTGGATAGTATCAAGAGAATTAAAATTTTATACTACTTTTTTTCACTGTCACTTTGCTGTCTTCCCAGCAAGTGCCAACACAAAAACCATATCCAAATATTCAAAAACATTAATTGTTCTGGAATACATATGGCTGATTGACAATAAGAAATCCTTTTTTATCGTTTTATTTTTTTCATGGCCAAATTATTAACTTGCAGTTTGCTACATATAATTCAGTTTGGGAATAAAATTATCACTGGATATAATATTTCCAAACATTGCCAAACAGGTCACTTAAAGTCATCTCACTGTTTAATCTGAGTAGAATTGAAAATAAACAGAGGGGGTTTTGTGTACATACAAATCTGGATGGGAGAGTAATATTTACAGAGTATTTCTTATCCTTCCTAGTTACGCTTCTTGTGTTTGTCTAAGCAGCTTCTTGCCAACCTTAAAATTCATTAATATGGGAAATACTGAGCTCATTGGCTGCAACACCTCCATTTTAGAAATCAGACTACTACTATCCACCACATGTTCTGGCACAAACCCCGATTCCTTCTCTCCCTGTTCATTCCACTTCTCCCTCAGCCTCATTAAAGCCCCACAAAATTACCTAAGGAAACAAGAGCTTTAGAAAAGTCATTTCAAGGATCGTGTCAAATGCTGCTTCTTCATGGCCAGAGCCACGGCAGGGGAGGACAGAGCTCCATG